ATTATTGTGATATTGGGAGAGGCTAAGTACTGATGTCCGGAGATATATGAAATCGCGGATACATTCATTAAGGTAGTTGTGTTGAGTTGAGCCATGTAAGGCCTTTTATATTGTATTCTTATAACTCGTTGTGAGGTTGGAATTGTGGGATAAGCCTATTAACGAAGGAAACTCTGCTGAAATTTTTTTTAAAAAAATTTAGAGAGTTAGTCAAATTTCAAAGCCTTAAAGAGTTAAGGAGTAAGCAAAAGGCTCGGAGATTACGTTTTTAGACTTTAACACGACAAGAAATTTACATTCGAGGACGAATGTTTCTAAGTGGGGGAGAATGTAAAGCCCCATAAATTCTTTTAGTTAACTCCTACTAATTTTGAGCTCGAGAATGCAATGTAATTAAATCCGAGCTACATGATTATTCGAGTGGAACAAAGTTATTAGAATTCTTAGGGACAATATCGATAGTTAATCATTGAATTAGTGGATGTTACAATGTCATCAAATGCATTTGGAGCATTTCAAGTTTCTATTCATAAGTGCTGAAATTTTGAGAATTCAATGGTATGTAACCAACTTGAAGAGTTGGAATTTAATAAGGAAAACAAGGATTTAAAATCCTAGTCTTCAGATGGCAACGAGAAAGGATTTAGAAAACTAGGAAAAGTGGTTGGCCAACAAAGAGACAAGTGGGGGACAATGGAATTAATTAAATAACAAGGATAAGGAAATAATATAAGTAATTATAAAAGACAAAAGCAAGTGGAAAATAGAATGATTAAAGTTGAAGATCAAAATATTGCTTCTGTGATTGAATAAATTAGAACCGAGTGAAGGCATGCAACTCAGCACCCGAAATTTAGAATCCACAGCTGAAGTTTTTGTAGGCATTTTGTAAAGGGGGAGATTATATTATATTTGACTTGGTCTTGGGGATTAGATAGAAGGAGCAGCTATTTTCCATTAATACATCTTTAAGGTAAGAATTAAATACCTTTCTTTGATAAATTTGATTCATTTATTACATCTCTTAACTCTTCAACATCGTGGGATTCATAGATTTTTGAAGATAATCTCAAGGACATTTCAAGAAACCCAAATCTTGAAACTTTTAGAGTTTGACAAAGAGGTAATTTCTTCACTCCAATCTTATGTACCATACTCCACGGGCGTAGTAGAGTATATTTATGAAGTTATATTTGTATTTAAACATCTATTCATAAAACCCTAGAAGCTAGTCTTGAAATTGAAAAGTTGGTTGGTAAGAATGATGAATAGTGATGGGTGTTGTTTGAACGATGTTATTTTGAGTTTATAGTGGAATGACTAGATTCCATAACAAGTTTAATGAATAAGTTGGAGTTAAAATTCAAGGATTGTCATTCAAATAATCAAATGAGGATTTTTGTTAAACTTACAAGATTAAATTTAAGTGTTAGACATTTAGTTGGTTTAGTAGGTATCGTTGTGATTCGTTCTTGAATTATGTGAGTTCGTATATGTAGATCGTGACTCATTGACGTTATTGGAACATTTGTGATAAGGTTGGAAGCATTTTGAGGTACGTTGAAACTTACTACCCTCAGAACTTTTCTCCAAACTCATATCGAAACACGATTAAACTGAGTTTCAAAATGTGAGTCCTAGCTTGTGGGGACGAGTGAGTTGGGATTTATTTTATCTTAATTGAAGAAAAAAAACTAAATAAATAAGGAATAGAACTTGTAGTATTTTGAAATGAAAATACATGAGTTGCAAAATATCTTGGATATAGCTATTCTCAAATAGTTGATTTGGCTATAAATATCATCATTGATAAATGTAAAGGTTTTGGGAGTTACTTAAATTCACCGAGATTGACCTTGGACATTTTTCCTCATTAGGTCATGAAACTACATGTGCCGGTGTAGGCGTAGAACCTACTTTACGATTGGGGACTACAACAGAGTACTTCCCATTAGGGGTACTATTGTGCTACTTTATTAGCATGGTTGAGTCGATTTGTGCGGCACAACGATGAGACGACCTGAGCAAGTAGGGTATATGATACTTGCCGCTATGTACATAACCTAGTTGACCTTCTTTCGTGTCGGTGATGGTATAGTGATCCTGGTAAATGAAAAATCTAACATGATTTTGCAAAGATCAATGATAAAGGAAGACTTTGAAATATGTTTTACCATATTATTTTATTGTACTTTTAAATTGTTAATTGATATGAATACTTCTTTCTTGATATCAATTATTATTGCATATCTTATGTCTTCTTAAATATCGTCCTATTTTCTTTTTGGGAAATGATTCATGATTCGTACTAGGCATGTGGAGCTTAGGCCTTTCGGCCACATTTGCATTTTCTATTTTCAGGGACTGGACATGAGTAACTTGGACCGCATGGATAGGGTAGCTCTACATTTTCCGTTGACGTTATTTGGTGAGACTCCACGCTTGTATTTGTGGAGGACTTTATTATATTAATATCCTTTTAAGCCACCGGGTTATGCCTTGACTGACTATTCCAGTTCGTGTCATAGAGATTTCATAGACAACAATAGTATTCATTTTGGGTTGTAATCCTATGGTTACTTGCATGGCGTGCATGAACGAAATTTTCTTTTATCTTTATGAAGCTTTGCCTTCAAAGGAAAATATTTACTTAAAGACATTATTCATGTTTTGTGTATATCTTAAAATGATTCAAACTGAAGAGCCTTTCGCATCCTCCTATTAAGAATATAGATGTGTATTAATCTATAGGATGGTTCACTCGGGTCGGATAGAATACCGGGTGCCGGTCACATAGTTTTAGGGCGTGACATTCACAGGTTTAAAATGCGTCATTAGTGTTTGCCCCGCTCAAGAAGACAAAAAGAGACAGTATATCAATACCATCATTAGAACCATAGGAAATGCATTTACTAAATATATTTATGAAAAAAGAGGTAAAAAGTTTGGCTTTACCAGCTATAATTTATGTTTAGCCTTGTGAAGAAATATTGAATGGTTGTGTCATATGTTATAGTAATAGCTACGAAATTGTTTATTAATAAATACTTCCAAATTGCTTTTTATTATGTATATATACTATTCGAGTTGGCAATGGTAAATGCAGATGTTGCTTACATTATAAAACTGCTTTTGCTCCCAGGGAAAAATTTACCCGCATGAGTATTTATACCAAATTGCATCAATTTACTATAGTTAAGTGATTTAATGAGGTGAAGATATTTATTTCCTCCGGTCAAGGGCAGCCCGACGAATTTTGTGATCTAAAGCCAAATTTTATGAGGGACCTTAACTTTTTAATTTTTTATTTATTTATTTGAAGTTTATTTTTTTTTAGCTTTTCTTAGATACAAAGTTATTAATGAATTTTTTTTAATCAGTAACTCCTAATAAGTATTTCTCAACTCACAATATAGCTAATCCATTTAACCTTTTATGTGACATTATTGTTCTTAGGTACGATTTTACCAATGTTAATTTTGAAAACTTCTTTCCGATGAAGCAACGGTAACATGAGTTATTAACATTATTCCATAAGAAATTTAGGCATTTGAAAAATCATTAAATCTTTTTATTTGATTAAATGTATCAATTAAACTGTTATCTTCTAATTGTACTATTTTCTTTAATACTTTTAATTTGGAAAATAAATTTAAACCATCAATATTTAATTGATAATTATGTTTTAAGGAACATGCAAGATTAAGGCAATATTCTTTAAAATTTTCAACATCTAGTGATCTTAGTTTTACTGCCAAATAGAAAAACAAAATTATTTTCATATGCTTTGAATTGTTCAAATCTATTTTGAAGTGAAAAAATAGCATTGTCTACTATGTATAAAAGTAATCAACTCTAAAGGACTCTTCAAAAGATTTTGAGATTTTATTATCAACATTCGCATCAAATTGTTACTTCCTATATATCACACGTTTCTTACGAAATTAGGGTTCGATATTCATTTCAAGTGCAATTTCCTTGGTAGAAATCATAGCAGTTGCAAATCCTTCTTCTCTATATTTGTTAAAAGAAACTTTACAGAATTTTTTTTTAAAATTATACATAATCTATTAGATGCTTACAAAAAATGGGGTCTCCACAAATATGGGGCCTAAAGCGGTTGTTTTACTTGTTTTATGGAAGGGCCGCCCCTGCCTCCAGTTCACTTAATTAATTTTTTGGTAGTTTTTGCATATATTAAGAAATCTACCTTTTAATATTAATTAATAATAAATTGACCGTATTAACCTTTATTGACTCTTTAATTTATTTATTGAAATATAACAAATACTTCAAGACTCTTTACTCCAAGGAAAACTCTGAAAAAAAAGTTAATTTCTTTTTGATATTTAAAAAAATTAAATATTGAGAATTACAAAAAAAAGGCCAAGAAATCTATTAAAATGGACCGGAGGAGTATTAATCAACTTTGATGAGGTAAAAGAAATTTATGTGCAAACACGTGTCATACATCTATTGATTTGGTATAAACACTCGATAAGTATATCTTGTTAAATCTCAATTTCTAATCTTTCCCATAAATACAATAACAAAAAATTCAGTGTAATCACAAGTGAAGTATGTGGAAGATAATATGTGCAGAAGCTGTTTCCGATAGACCCTCGACGATCTTTTCCGTAAATAATTTCCCTAAGTCCTATTAATCTATTAAATAACAGCCGTCACAATCATCCATCAATGAGACTGATCAACGGTTAAGAATTATCCATCACATACCAATTAAATCTGCACCGTCAATTCCCAATCTAACGGTCTAAAATTACCCGGGAATGGTAAACACCAAAGAACAAGTTCAACATTTATTAATCCCTCGAAGTGTGCCGTTTGATGTTCAAACTTTTGTCTCCTAACGTACCCATAAAACCGTTAACGCTGTTAGTCCACCTCATCAGTCCCTGCTTTCCCAAAGCTAAAAAACTTAACGTCTAACTAACGGCACCGTCAATAACCCCCCTTCATATATATTCGTTATGTACAAATAGTTTCTTTTAATATTATGAAAAGATTTACTTTTCTTTTTTGTGTTTCAACGGGCAAGATTTTTTTTTCTCAATTTCTCTCACTAATAACTCTTAGATTTTTTTCATTTTTTTGGGTTTCAAACGGTTTGCGTTTTAACTGAATTCCCGTCACTTAGAGGTTTGTTTACTGTTAGATTCTTGAAATTTCTTGTTAAAGTTTCGATTTTTATTCATTATTGACTGATTTTTAATCAATTCAGCTTTTATTTCATATTATTCTACTTGATTTTGGCTGATTTGAATTGGGTTTTGGTTATTTTTACTGTTGGATTCATGAAATTTGAAAATTTCTGTTTTTATTTATTATTGACTGTTTTCAAATCAATTTAAGGTTTTATTTCATCTTATTCAACTAGATTTTGGTTAATTTCAGATGGTTATAAAGTTTTGGTTTTTGTTTATTGAAATTTGATATAAAGATGGGTTTGTGGGATCTGGGCTTGTTTAAATTCCTAGTAATTGTGTTATAAATTTACTATATGGTTCATAATTAGGATTTTAAAGTTATACTTAGTTGGGGTTTTTGTTATCTTTGAATAGCTTTGAAGGTTTTTTTTATCAGTATGATGATTTTTCAATTGATTATGGTATTGAATTGGTCATTTATGAAGGTTATGGTAAGAGGAAAATGGCTGAATTGAAAGTAGAGGACTGTTGTACTGAGAATAAGCAATCAGCTGCTGCTTCTAACTCTTCAGTTTCTGAAAATAGTGCCAGTGTTACTTTAAGGTCACCGACAGTATCTAGCCCGACTCCTACATCACCAACTCATAGGTACTGTTGTTTTGACCTTGTTAAATATGTTTAGCTGGTTGATGACTAGAATTGCATATTGTAAAGTTGGTTCTTGATTTTGATTTTGATGTTCATATCTAATTTTAACAAACTTCATGATTATTTCTTTTAGTGTTGCGACTGAAAGTTTGGGATCTTCCAAAACGGTACCTATGTGCATTATGTTGTATAATAGTTAATTATCGTTTTCACGTTTTGGTTTAGATCATTTGTGGATAAGATTAGAACTAACTACGTCAACGTGAGCTTGCAAAGCATAGCCGGTTCTAAGTGTGGATAAAGGAGGAGGATTGTGGTAGAATGACAATCAGTAATCAGTGTATAATAGTTAAACTGTGATGAGTCCTTTGAATACTGAAGTTGAATATAGTAGAGCGGATGCGATGCGAGTGTTTGTATAGCCGAACCCCAATGAATTTGTAACGGTGTCATAGTTGATTGTTGTGAATAAGACTCAAACTGAGTGGAATACATTTTGGAGACATAAGAAAGTGACTGAACTGGAGAACATCATGGCCATATTAAGAAGAAGAGTTTTTACTGAAAATGTCCTGGTCAACAATATCTGTAGCTAAGTCTTTTCTTCCTTCTACTATTTCTTGCATCCCAACAAAAAAGCAAACTGACAATCACCTGAAGCGAATTACTCAATGATAGGATTCTATGATATTATGTATATTGTGCTAATTTTAGAGTTCGGAATGGATATTGAAAATTATTACTTTGTGCTTGTTTTGTGTGAATTTTGCAGGAGAACCTCTGGTCCAATTAGGCGAGCAAAGGGTGGTTGGACTCCTGAGGAGGTGAATAGAATTCCTTATATTTCCAGCAAATAATCTCTTCTGCAAGATAAATAGCTTAAAATATCCACTGTCAAGTTTTCGACAGTGGATACTACTGGTTGTTCTGGTAAAATGTAGAACACTGGAAAAGTTTGTTTTTGGTGTAATATGTTGGGCATGTTGAATTCTGATGCTTCTGTAACCCTCATGTATTATTGTTATTGTACACCAGTTTGAATTTCTTTATAATTGCTTCTTTTCTTTTAAATGGCAAGTTCAGCTTCTAGTTTTGCTTCTTGGAATTATGTCTTGATTAGATAAATATCTCCCCTGCCACAGGATGATACTTTGAAAAGGGCTGTCGCAGTTTTCAGAGGGAAATGTTGGAAAAAAATAGGTATTATTTCTTAGCTAGTCTCTTTGTTAGTTAGCAATTATGAATTAAACAATCTTGTGGCAACTTGTTTCACCTTGACCTGGGCAGATGTTTCAAAAACTGATAGGTGTCCAATGTGGAAATATTGCTATATGACATATATGATGGTCACATTCACTGTATTTGATCATTGCTGTGGTCTTATCATGAATATATTACCATTTACACTTTGCTGAATGTCTGTTGGGTGCTGTAATGCTCTTAGTGCATCTTTAATGACAAGCCAAGTCAATGTATTCATGTATGTTATTACTCATATATTCTGTTTTGTTTAGGTATAGGCATTTGTGCTGCAATTTGGATATCATCAGTCATCCTCTTCGTGCTTTTCTTTTCAAGCGAGGTTTTAGCCTTAATGTGGAATTTTGAATTTGGAGATAACAAAGGCTGGCAAATATCGAAATTCTTCAAAATAGATTTTCAGAACTTAGTTTTACTAGTTGGTATTAGGAAATTATAGCCTTGTTCCATCAAAGGGTACTTTAACTTTGATGAACTTTGAAGTCTTAATTTTTTTGACAAATATTTAAGACAGTCTACGTGGCTATCATCTTATGTATCATTTCCTGTTATTGGATTCATGTGGTAACATAGAAATGTGACTTTTGGTCAAAATATTGATTCACGTGCAGCTGAGTTCTTCCCAGATAGATCTGAAGTGCAATGCCTGCATCGATGGCAGAAGGTTCTCAATCCGGATCTTGTCAAAGGACCATGGACTCGGGAGGTTTGTTTGCTTTCCTACTTTAGTTGCCTTCTGCACTGGTAATCTTAATTGTGCTTCGACTATCTGGATGATTTCTGATGATTTTCAACTTTTACTGGTGTTTGCTGACAGGAGGATGATAAGATCATTGAACTGGTTGCCAAGTATGGGCCTATGAAATGGTCTGTCATAGCTAAATCATTGCCTGGTCGAATAGGAAAGCAATGTCGTGAGAGGTAGGATTCCATAGATTCCTGTATCAAATGAAGGTTGATCTCTGTTGTCTTATGACCAACTTTGTCTTCGGCCGCTGATCTATTACCAAATTAGTAAGAGTTGCTCTACTGATTTAGTACCAATTTTCCTTCTGTTAGCTGTAATTGCTATAGCTTCAGTAGTGCGTGTCTACCCATTCTGCAACCCTATACAAGTACCTGGTTTTTTCGTGAACTATTCTCTGGAAAGTCACAGTGAATTCTTCGTTTTCCTGTTCATTTTTAGGCACTAGTCCCATCTTCATTTGTCTTAAAGTTTGTCAAATGATAGAGTCCTACTATTTGTTTGATTGTGTTTAGTTAATGATTATTGCTTTAAATTTGATCAGGTGGCACAATCATTTGAATCCCAATATAAAAAAAGATGCTTGGACACTGGAGGAGGAACGAGCACTCATAGATGCTCATCGGATCCATGGTAACAAGTGGGCTGAAATTGCTAAGGTCCTGCCCGGAAGGTAATGAATTCAGCATAAAGATCAAATCTCTGTTGGTAGGTTCACAATAGTAGTAATCTAAAGGGAAAAATTAATAGTTTTTTCGTTCAGTAGAATAAAGAGAAAAGAGATCTGAATGGCTTCTTTATTTAAGCATTTCTATTAAAAATTACTGCTTCAATCCCGTTCTTTGAATATGATTTTCTCAAATATGTCTTAAATATTTTTGGCCTCTAAAAATTATAGTTTATAGTGCTTTTATGTAGTTTATAGTATGTATTTTCAAAGATCAAAGAATTGACATGCGCAATCACCCCAAGATTAGATGGTTTGGCTCTTGTGCACTGAAACCAGTCATTCTTTTGGGACTAGAGGGAACACAAAGAGTTCCTGAAGATTATAGGAGCAACTGCTCATCAGTTATTCTTCCTTTTTGCTCTAAAAATCCCAAGTAATTTTGATAGATAGGACACAATGGAGGAAAAAGATCCATATCGGTGATATCTACTAGTTGGGAGTAGGTTTTAAACTTGATAGAGAACTTCCAATACTATTATTATTATTACTACTATCAGCAGTTGAGCTTAAATAGAGAAGTGAGTATCTATAACCGACCCCAACTTCTTTGAGACTGAGGCGTTAGACAGCGGCAAATGCATTTAACGTCCAGTGTGACTCAGGGCCATAGTCTATACTCTTAAGTGTGGTACTATTGCAAATCCATAGTTATGAGTTTATAAAGCACATTGTCACCTTTCGTTATTTTTCCTGCTATATTTTTACCCAAGATATGTTTACCTATAATAATAGTACTGAAACAATTAATAAAAGAGATACTTACTAGTGAGTATTTACATGCATATTTATTGATTTTGGATGTCATATTGACAGAAAACATATCATTCAAAACCATAAATCATTTGAATTATTTGGACATTTGGCTAGTGTTATCCATTGATAGCCTTCTATATGGGCTGTCTATGCTCAACGAGTAGACAAATATCATCCGCCTTGAGTTTGGCTTTTACAATGGCTAGCTATTGAAGTTAAAGCAAGACTTTTCTGCCAATCAACCTTTATAACAATATTATGTGTGTCCTCTATCATATTCTATAAAGGAATTTGCAAGAGTGTCGAATCAATTCATAGTACCCTATGTTTCTTGTTAACTGCAATTCTTGCTCATTCCGGGCCTAATTTTATACAGGACTGATAATGCAATCAAGAATCACTGGAATAGCTCTTTGAGGAAGAAATTAGACTTTTATTTAGCTACTGGAAACCTTCCACCTGCTACTAGGGATGGCCTGCAAAATGGTTGTAAGGACACTACTGAAACAGCTAAAGCTGAAGAGTCACTTGTAGCTTCATCAGGAACTGCAGATATGTGTAAAATAGTAAATGGATGGCAGGTCACAGAAATCAGTGCTTCAAATGGTGGTCCTCAAACTGAGTCCACTGATTCTGAAGTCGTCAGGTTGGAAGCTCAATCACCAGAAATAGATGCTATTCGACACATCAAACCAATTACAGAATCAGAAACCTTGTATGAAGGACGGAGAATAAATAGTGTTGTAGATCGACTAAAAGTTGTTGAAGCACCATTTCATTGTGAAATCCCTACATGTGGTACATTATACTATGAACCACCAACATCAGAAAGTTGTATTTCGCTGGATTCAGATCTTCTCAATATACGCTGGGCACAATGTGAATCTGATGCAAGTCCAAGCCCGTCACCAAATGGTTTCTTCACTCCACCTAGTACAAAGGGTAGTAGCCTATATGCACAAACCCCTGAATCCGTACTGAAAATTGCTGCTAGAAGCTTCCCGAATACGCCTTCCATATTAAGGAAGAGAAAGACTCAAGCTAAACTTTCCACACCAACTAATAAAATGGGGAAGTCAGACGGAGATTTCTGCAAGGACAAACCTACTGATGCGTGTGAAGAGATCCTTCCAAGGAATTCTTCCAATGGTATTGGGCTATACAACAGTCAAGCATTTAATGCCTCTCCTCCCTATCGATTAAGGTCTAAACGAACATCTATCTTCAAGTCTGTGGAGAAGCAGCTTGAATTTGCACTCAACAACGAGAAGCATGATACAAGTAATGGAATCAGTGAGTCGACTGTTAATGATATATCACATGCAGCCAAAGATTTTTCACAGTCAGCTAAGAAGGATACAGTAAGTTCCATCTTTTCCTTTTTCTTGTCATTCATTTTTGTCCTCTTGTTTTTGGATGAGTTGGGAGTTGGGTGGCTGGGGTGGAGCAACTAATTGCAATGGTAGCTATCCCTCTTTCTCCTTACACTAGGTTGTGTAGAATATCATGCCCTTTCCAAATGAAGAATTTTTTCCTCTTAACATTTTAGTGTCTTGAACTGACTTAAAAGTTAAGAATCTGTCTTCTGATACAGTTGATTGGATAAAACTTTGGATGTCAATACGCATGTCAAGTTTTTGAGAATAGGCAGGCATGTTACTAGCTACTAACCCGGTCCTTATAAAAAAAAATAGCCACAAATGCAGCATGTTGCCTTTCAAAGCTTGACGTTCTGAGGTGGTATTGATGCCAATTTCTTCATTGTCTAACTTAGAAAGGAATGGTATTGGAACAATTTATGGATGGGGATGTTGACAATGTAGGTAAAAAGGGCAAGGGTTCGATATCAAATTTTATGGCAATACGCAAAGCAGTTCCAAATAAATAAGGAATAGACAACCAGATAGACTACATTGAAACCAATCTGGATTGACGGAGATGTTGTGAGCAAAACATGGGGAAAAGGGGCAAAAACAGAAATTCTTGAAGTGCATCTCTTTAACACAAAACATCTTCTTATGTATCTAAAAGCATTTTATTTCCGATAGTATAATAGTTCACTTGACAACATGTTTAGTTAATTATCATGTAGTAGCCCTTTTTGGAGATGCTATACTAAACAAGAAGGGTCTAATTCCATTTCGGTAAATATAGTCAAGCGTAGATATGTCACTACAGTAAGTGAATGATATGTCACTTCTGGCACTTTCTTTACATGCAGTGGACATGCCCATAATTTTGTTTTAAGGACGTCACATCCAGATCCTCTATGCTGCTTCAGCTACTGGCATTACTAACAGAGTTTTCTGATATGTGACTGCCACATCTTCAGACAAACGGCATCTTACCTGTGTATTGCAAAATATGATTTACTCATGGATGGCCTTTTTCACAATTGGGTCTTTTATTTTTATTTTTGGTTGATTAGGATAAGAAGGTGGAATAAGTGCTGAACACATGCAATGTCTAACAGTGGCTGCTATAGGAAATGAAAGTTCAGAAGCAATCAGTAATGTCAGAAGAATTTTCGACACTTCTGGAAACGACACAAGACTCTATCTGCCATATAGAGTTTTGTTAGGTGTACAAAGATCTCTTCTCCTGCATCACAATTATGTGCAGGTTATTGACTATTGGTTATTCGTAGATGGTACAGGCGATTTCCATTATAGGTTGAAAGATTGTTAAAACTGCAATTGATTTGTATAGAACTGCTTTAAGTAGGTCTTCGGAATAGTTTCACATTGAAAATAGTTGCTTAATAAGAGCAGTTGTCTAGGGTATATCATAGTTCATACCATTCAGAAAGTAAGATTACCAACTTTTCTCGACTCATTTGATTCCTTCTCCTAATTTTCCCCCCTAAATATGGTGTATTTAGATAATCCTCAGTTTTAGTTCTTCGGATCTGTAGATTCTGAGATAGTTTATCATGTAGTAGGCTTTAAATGCCTTATCGCTGCTAGTTAACTCATACTGCAGTCTGCAGCCAGAAGTAACTCTTTTTACCCTCTTTTCTTGTGAAAATTTAAACGTTTATTGAACAGGAAAACTTTAAATGAAAGACCTCATCCAGCTTTTCCTGATGAGTGATGACACCTTTTCTTTTTCTTTTTTTTTTTTTTTTTTTTTTTTTTCTTCCCCTTTTCTTTTTTTTTCTTTTCCTTTCTTCCTTTCTTTCTTTCTTTCTCCTTTTCCTTTCTTCCTTTTCCTTTTTTTTTCTNATATGTTGCATCCTGGAACAGAAGATCCTATAAAAATGGGAAATGCCATGCGTTCAGTTTAAACTATTGATTTACGTAATAAGAATTAACCAACTAGATTTACGACGAAATCTAGAAATCAATTACTGATCCAATTTAAGTATCTCTACAGGATGATTGATTTCAATAGCTCCTAATATAGAAATATTGGCTGTAGAGATATATTAATATGAAAACAAAATTATTTCAAGCACCAATAAAATCAAAAGCGTCCCTTCTTTTCAAAGAGAGGAAGAAGGGTTATTTACATTTCATTTGATGGTCACAAAAATTAAAACTTAAGTTGTCTCCTACATTACCCCATAAAATGTAAAAGTATCGATGTAATTTCATAGTCATTCAATCTGAATGTCATAGTTTTCTATAGAGGAGCCATATTTTTTTTTTCAAATCGCTAAAGGTATAATTTATTGATGAAACAACAAGATTGTGCTGAATATGTACAACAGGAACCATATTTTTCTTTTTTGACAATCGATAAATCCCCTAAGACGGTAGTGCACAATTAGAAACTCGATGGATAATAAGCTGCACATCTACCTCCATTCAAATACCAGGCTAGGCTTTATTAGGAGCAGAGTTACTGGAGCCATATTTTTGTGCTTTCTGAAAACCTATTATTTTGAGTACAAAAAAATCCCGGATTCCCTCATGTATCCAATGGTTTTGTTAATAGATCAATGAGGCACGAAAGGGTTTGTTATTTTCCAAACATCTGTGCCAACAAGGTATATAAATTTAGGAGCACAAGCTAGCTTAACAAAAAAAGAGGAAGGCAATTTGAATATTATCGCTTGATTATAGCATATTGCTGTTTAGGTCTCTATATATACACAATTCATAGTTGATGACACTTCAATCATCATTGACATGAGAACAAAGGAAGCCAAAGGGCAAGGCTAGATTGTTGCACATATATAAAAATCCATATGGCTAGACATTAAGATACACTTGAAGGAGAGCTAGGTGACAACCCGCTACTAATGCTTGCATTAGGATAAGTTGTCTGCATAACATCCCTTGGGGTGCGGTCCTTCCCCGGATCCTGCATAACATCCCTTGCTTTGTGCACTGGGCTACCCTTGTTGAAAGAAAGCAAAGCAGTTATCATATTACATCTGAAGCTCCAAATTTATTCACAATTTCTGTACAGCTAGGTGCTGACAACCCACCGTTCCATCTCCACCACCGAGTCATTTTCATGGAATGCAGGCATCCTATTCCTGCGGGCAAACCGTAATCGTTAAAATAGCACGGTCTAGCCAGTTTTCGGTTTGGTCATTCAAAAATAGCCAGCATTTGCTAAGTCATTGACTATTTTGCTGCAACAGAGACCGGTCCAGCATATACTGGAGTTCGGTGCACCTGTGTATGAACTTCCAGCATATTATGCTGAACCGGTATACTTTGCTGGATCCAATATAATATACGGGAGACTGGAGCACCGGTGCTCCAAACTCCAGTATATTATGCTGGACCGGTATATTATACTGGAATTCCAGTATATTAGACTGGAGTATTTTTCCGGATTTTGAACAGTATTTTCGTTCAGATTTATCTTTACATGAAAAGTGGCTAAATTTCGATTACTTTTAAAACTGTGGTTATTTTTGAATGACCACTTGTAAATCTGGCTATTTTTGAATTTCTCCCTGTCACATGAAATTTTAACTAATTAACATAAAGTAAAAAATGCACAATAAATCAGCATCGCAAGACTCACACGAGGAAGTATTTGTCACGAAGAAAAGGAACATAAAATAGAACAACAGGAGTGGTCTGCAGTCAACTAGAATAATCAATAAAACCCCAAAGGAAAAAAGAGAGGGTGATGCAACCTTGCGCAAACCATAGCGAGGGCTTAAACAAGCTTACTCTAAGCAATGCCATGAGAAGCTATACAGGAGGGAAATTCGGCAGAGAAGCTTATCTTTATTCTCGTAAAGCATCTCAATTTAAGTCCTATACCTCTTACATTGCAACAACTATGCCTTAGTCCCAAATAAGTTGGGGTTGGCTATATGAATCCTCACTACTTCATTTAATAAGCTCAACTAATGCCATCATCATGCCAAATAAAATAAAAGGGCAAAAATAAGTTTATATATGTATGGTCCATACATTGCTCATATTAATATGTTGTAAACAGACCTCGAATAAAAATTTAAATGTAAGAATGCATTGATATATTAGTAGGCCTGTAATTGCACCCCAGGCTTACAGGTCCCACCTATAGGAGTGCCAACTTGGGAAATGTCGTGCATTCTGATGCCATTGCACAGTAAAAGATGCCAAATACTCATAATTCGGATACGTTGTCTCTTTTGGTCTTTTTGAGCCGAGGGTCTTTCGGAAACAATCTCTCTACCTCCTCCGAGGTAGGGGTAAGGTCTGCGTACACTCTACCCTACCCTCCCCAGACCCCATTTGTGGAATTTTACTGGGGGTTGTTGTACACAGTAAAAGATGCCAAATACTCATTTGCTAGGAAGTTACAACAAGGTGGTCTGAGACCTTTCAAGCGTTTTAGCGTCTTTTGATTAAGTACAATTAATCAATCCTAGTTTAGCAGAAAGCTCCAACAATAATCCTATCCTACCCAAGTAATCTAACGCAACTTATAGCTACAATTTTATTGATACCTTGAGGCTCCACCTGTCACTATATTGATGTAGCATATTTCAGGAACTAAATAGGTCAGATTTTCAAAATATTTGAATTACTACAAGTGGATGTTAAAAGATTCTGATGACGAAATAATCACAAGAACACTGTCTGATAAGCCTCGCTGATGAAACAAGCNACTTCCTGCATCATTATCATAACTATGAACCAGGGGACAACAAAACAATTGTTATCATCTTTAACGTATTCGAGTCGGACATAACCTGCAACTGTCAAGAGAGCCAATGAAAAACAAGACCGCAGGTGATTGTAGAAAAAACGATAAGCAGAATACAACAACTATTATTGAACTTTCATCAAACCTTCACCATCATAAAATGCCAAGCTAAAGCATGAAAAGCGCGCCAATAGTTGTCTGACGAAGCATCTTTGAACTTCGATCTAATCCATGAGAAGCCACCTAGAGTTTGGAATGAGAAAACAATCAGCAAGCAAGTACAACCTTAGAAAATGATAACTGAGATTCGATGTTGACACTGAAGCAAAACACAATGGTTATGTTCATTCAGCAGAAATGATAAAAGTTGAATTCCTTAACAACAATGGCTAGCACGGTGACACACAACTAGTGACAATGGCTAATTTCCTTACCATATGAGTTAAGGCAGCATAACGTTCCTCATTTAGATATAATGGCTTTCCCCTATGCATGTCAATATCCTGAAGAATAGGAGAGGAAGTGTGTAAGATCCAATTTGATATGTGGACATGCTGGTTTAGAGCCCAGATGCTTCCCCACTCCAAAAAATTTTACAAGAAACAAAGCTCAACGCACAATGCACATATATCTGGACATTTTGGTCTTGACAACCGCAACTGAGAAAAAGAGGAAATAGAGAAAGGAAAAGGGAGGGAAGAAAAACAAAAACATGCCAATCCATCAAAATTCAAAGAAATAACAAGTGACAATTTAAGTCTGTACCTGTCACATGTGGGAATTATGATGAACATATCTTAACTTCACTACTACTCTTATTTTATTTTGGCATGGTGATGATATGAGTTGAGTTTAAAGAAAGAAGTTAGGATTCATATTGCCGACCCCAACTTTATTTGAGACTGAAGCGTAGTTGTATTTGTATCTTTGACGAAAATAACAGATCTATATTTTATAATTGAATTGAAGACATTTGAGGCATAACCTTCTTCCTGTTGTTTTCTCTCCAAAAACACTCATTTTTTTGTTTTTCAGTCTTCTTAAATTTCAAAACAGGAGCTTGTAAAGCACCTTCGTTGGAAAAGAAAAGGTACATGTCACTTTGCTTGGGCTTATTATGAGCTTAGTGGCTAGAGATAGTGACAACAAACTTCAATAAGAAAAATTTAAACTGCTGCTTGACGCTCTTTTGCATGTTTAATCAGTAATGCTTCTGACCGCTATGTTATTCGAATTCATTTTTGTCTCACGTTTGCTCTTATATAGCGCGGGTTACATGATGATGCTCCAGACCACTAACTGTTAAAAGGAAGATATTTTACAGACTAATATTTTTGTGTGCAATGGACCGAAAAGAGGGAGAAATAGAACAACAGATAATGGTAGAGAATGAATAGCATGAAGGAACTCTTCAGCACATGTATCTTAGGAGGTGATCTCATTAATGAACATCTCCATCATGGCTCCCAATTTTTTAGAAGAAAGGAAAACTAGCCTGGAACCTTTCCTAAATTGAATTCATTCTTTAATGATTTTTCCGAGCAAGAAGCAAAACTTCCCTTTTTCATCAACTCCCTTAGAAAAATGAAAATAAAGAGAGAAGCTTGTTGTCAACCAAACACCTTGGCTGCTCTGAAGCTCTTCTATGATAGCTAAATCTAACCATTAATTTACCTCTTCTTTCTTCGTTATTCTGGCTAGTCTGATAGTGTTTTATATAGGACTGCTAGTGGTTATTATTCCATCACACTTTCTATTTTCTGTTTATTATTTTTTTACTTTTATTTTATATTTTATTTACAATTTTTATTATTGCCATAATTATTGTCCTCCCACTTATTTGTTGTCACTTACGGTGCTGATCTTATTTGTATGTTTTATGCTGTTGTTACAGATCTTTTGTTTTTGAGCCGAGGGTCTCCTGGAAACAGCCTCTCTACCCTCATGGGTAGGGGCAAGGTCTGCGTACACTCTACCCTCCCCAGACCTCACTAATGAGATTATTAATGGGTTGTTGTTGTAACTTACCTCTTCTCCAAATGCATCCAAATATGGTGATGGCCATGGTGCCTGAGTAGCAGATCTGTGAAGCCATATTGTTGTTTTCTACAGTGAAAAGTAAAATTTCATTAAGCCAGACAGTATTTTACATATCAAATAGGTCAAGAGAAATAAGTAAAGCAAAAAAGGAACAACACTTACTCTGATCAACAAGAACACCCCAGTACCGGCACCACAGGCCATTGCATGAGTTTGGCACCCACTTTCCCTGGAGTTCAATTAAATGCGTCAGGCACAATATTAAAGACCATAAGAAGGTTTTTTAAAAAGAAGGTGCAACCCAAGTGTATTTGGACCTGCAACATGTCTTCCAACTTGCGGAGCACAATTTACCACATAACAAGCACAATGCAGGATCCCTCAGAAGAGCTCCGCAATCTGGGCAATTCTGTTTAATATACCTGAAGGTAACATCAAGACATCCTGAGTTTTAGCTTGTCCACACAAAGATAGAAGACCAGTCAAATAATTTCTATCCATATCTAAAACCAACCTCTGCAAGAGGTCCTGATAAAGATGAGGCAAAAGCATCATTCTGAATGGGGTTGCAGGAGTGGAATATAAAACATCCTTGAGACCACGACATTCAAACTCCTTGTAGAAATGATTCAGCCATTTTTGAACCATTGGACGAATTGTGACATCATTGAGAACATTATCCAGTGTGGGAATCTTTAATATCTTCTCTAACTTTTTAATCTGAACGAGCTCTGTAGCAATGTTATCACCACAGTACATCAGTTCATTAGTTGGATATGCTGATTCATCTAACTTGTTAATCCCACCACTAAATGGCACCACTCTAGAAGAATGAATCAATTTCCACAACAATATACATCTTCTTAAGTAAGGAAAAGTCAAACTGCGAATTGCATCTTTGATATCATAAGTTTCTATAAAATTAGAATTAAAATATTCCTGAGCAACTCCATGTTCTCCAATTACTTTATAGATGTCAGTAAGTAGAGAATCATTGCATCCTAACTCAGGCATATTGCATTGGTGCGCTCTGCAATAGGTTATTACAGCCTGCAAAGAAAAGACGAGAATATTTTTCTAACCATCTTGGAGCTAATGAAGCGCAAAGAGATCTAATATCTACCAAGAAAAAAAGGATTAGAAGAAGGGAATTTGTGTAACCTGAGTGACAGCAACAACATAGAAAAGATGAACAAGGGACAAGAAGGCATCTTCGCATGACAACAATGGACATGGAAGGCAATATATTGTCCACATTAATGAAGAAAAAGCATCATGTGCAAGAACTGGATCAGAGGACCATCTCCAAAACTGAATATCAGGATACTGATCTTCTGTTTCAGCGCATTCTAAGATGTCTTGCATATTACCTGCAAAGCATATATTCCAATGATCTCATCTTTCTCCTTTTACAAAGTAAAGGAAATTTAAAAGG